GAAGAGCTGGAGGGCGGGGAAGAAGACCTGCCCAACTTCACTGGACCATTCGTGAGCAAAAGGAAACCTTTCGTTGTCTTAAGTCACTGAGATTCAGGGGTTTCTTTGTGACTCTACATAGCCTAATGTATCCCAATAAATACATTGGAATAGGAAATTGTCATTTAGCCACTCAACCAGCATTTATTGACTTCCTACCAAGAAGTCATCCTGTGCCCTGGGCTCCTCCCTCTTCAGGAGGCCCCCACTCCGAGGGTCGTGCAGGTGCAATGTCGGCCCCTGAGAGTGAGAGCTCTTGACATGCACCTCCCAGACACCCCTTTTCCCCCTCCTGGCTTTTATCTCTCCGCGGGGAAGCCAGGGTTTGAAGCCTGGACCTTTTGACTTACGAGCCCGAATTTGTTTCCAGCACCTCAAAGGGAAGCCATGCTCATTCTGGGGTCGTGTTTGGGGGACTGCAGCCGCAGCCAAAAGATTTATGAGCTCCCTGGACTACCACATCGCTCTGGTGCCAAACTTGGTTGTTTGGGGGCCTGAGCCACCCGTAAGCAGTCAGCAAAGTGGCGGTTCCTGCCGCAGTCCTTTGACACTTCAAACTGTGTTTGGAAGGTTCATCACTCACACATTCATTGCCAGACGCCCTGGTGCCAGCCGCGTGCTTCCTAAGCTGGCCAGGCCGCAGGGCTTCCCACTGTCCCCACCGCGCATCCTCTGTTACTAGAGGGAACAAATTCCAAGCAAAAGCCATGCTCTGACACAGAGAGTCTCCTCCAGGCAGACTTCCACTCACCTCCTGTCACTTCCCCGGGCAGCCGGCCCTCCTCTCCAACTCACTGTGGGAGGAGCGTCTCCTGTTGCGGATGCTGTTGATGTTACTGATCAACGTGCCTCTCTCCTCCTCCTCTTCCTCAAACCCCCTTTCTCTCCTGGCTCTTCTCTTGCCTCAGAGAGAGAAGTGCTTCAAAACTGTTCCTCCCAGGAAAATCTAATCAATAGCAATCAACAGTGACAGAAGTCAGAAGAGTGAGTATGTGGGGGGCAGAAGTACAGTTGTAGTACAGTCTTAGAAGTTTCTGGAAACTTCTGGAAGCGTACCTTGATCTGGGTGGTGGTTACATGGGTGTCTACATATGTAAAAGGTTGTTGAGCTATGCATTTAATACGAATGCACTTTAAGCATGCGCATGCGCGCACACGCACACACACCCTCAATTTAAAAATTAGATTCTGCAGTGAGTTCTATAAGCAGTAGCAAAATAAATGACAACAGCAAAAACCACAACGTAAGTTTGGAGTCATAGGGACTTGTATGAAAAATCTGGCTGTTCTCTAGCTGTGTGATGTTAGATAAGTTACTTAACCTCTCTGAACTTTAATTTTCTTATTGAGGTGTCGACTGTGAGGTGTCGCTTTTTAATAAAAAGTACCTGGCACAGAGCTGGCTCCCAATGAGTGCTCAATACATAATAATTTTCATTATCATTAAAACCAGTGGCGTTGGCCAGTGTGGGTCATTTGGTTGGAACATTGTCCTGTAACCAAAAGGTTACAGGTCCAATTATCAGTTAAGGGCACATGCCTAGTTTTTGTGTTCAATCCCTGGTCCTGGTGGGTTTGAGGTCTGGTCTAGGCATGTACGATTCTAGGTCCAGGTGTATGAGAGGCAATCAATCAATGTTTCTCTCTCACATTGATGTTTCAGTCTCTCCCTTCCTCTCTCTCAAAAAAACAAAAACAATGAAAAGAAAAATGTCCTCAGGTAAGGATAAAAAAAATAATGAAAATAAAACCAGTGGCCATACAAGGACAGAATATGGGAGTAGTCTTTCCGTGGAGCACATTGTCTATGGAAAATTTAAAGAAAAAATAAAATCGAGGTTCAGCTAGTCTACTTTCTGTTACCACTGTACACTGGCAAATCTAAGTAATATCAGTCATGAAGTATTCTGTCCAGAAAATATCTCTTTGGGGGGGTCTAAGTTATAACTGTTGAATTTTATTAATATATAGCTAAGCTTTGAATCAGCACATTCTAATTGTCCTCTAATAAACATTTCCTACACGGAAGTTAACTTGGAGAACCCCTAGGACCGCAATCGCCCCCAGCGCACGTGAACTGAAGGACACACATTCATCAAGAAAGTTCCTAACGGTCTGGGATTCACTGTGCTTCCTTCCACCTGTCTCCAGCCCCAAGGTGCTACGTACGTATTTCTACATCTCGAGTAGCGCCAAAGCAACAATGGCCGTAAGTGAGAATGAGGACAAAGGTACAGAATTTTCAGTCCTGTCATTCTACGTGTCTACTTGGCATTCTGATTGGTGTTTCAAATTTAAAACAGTGAGAAAGTGTGAACCATGAAGGATAATGATTGTGTTTGGAACGCGCAGATTTTAGTTCCCACATGAAATAGGCGTATGTTTGTTTCATCTCACGATTATTACTGAAAATAACTTTGTTGTATAAAGAAGGGGGATGTTCAAAAATGATCCTGTCTGGGTATAAAATACCCTAGGCATGCCTCTGACTAAAATATAAGAATTTATCTATCAACTGTTAATCGGTCAATCAGTCAAGTATCTCCCCTTCCCTCCAGGTTTGTGGACACTCCACCCTTATGCCCAGACACTTCTCCAGCCATTTCATCTTCATCCTTGTGAACTCTGAGAAGAAAAAATAAAATAAAAAGACACCTATTAAGAAGAGTTCCTAGTGACTAACTGGGCTCAATTTTTTAAAAAGATTTATTTATTTATTTTTAGAGAAAGGGGAAGCGAGGGAGAAAGAGGGGGAGAGGAACATCAATGTGTGGTTGCCTCTCACGTGTCCCCAACTGCGGACCTGGCCTGCAAGCCAGGCATGTGCCCTGACTGGGAATCGAACCAGAGACCCTTTGGTTTGCAGGCTGGCATTCAATCCATTGAGCCACACCAGTCAGGGATGGGCTCAATCTTTTATAGAAACAGAGCCTAGCAGCCATTTCTGCACAGGGGCCTCTCACGCAAACTGCACTTCATGGAGAAGCCTGCTCTGGACAACCCGACTGAGCTGAATTGCCTGCCTGCCTGCCCTGCGATTCTGCCACCTGAGCCAGCCCCTATAAAGGAGTTCCAGGAATCCTATTTCAACCACTGAGACTGAAGCTTTCTCCATCCAATCGGAGCTGCACAGCTCCAGCCAATCAGAGCAGCTCTATTCTGACCAATCAGGGCAGTGCCTTTTGGACCAATCAAACTGTGAGGATTTGGAGTCCTTATTTGCATGAGTACAAACCAATCTGGAACCAGGGATAGGGGCTCCTGTCTAGATAAGCCCTCTGGTTCGGAGAGTGTACTTTTTCTTTCCACCAAAGACTGAAGGCTGCGTGTCCCTGGCTGAGCTCTAGCAGGAGAGGGGCCTGGCCCTGGGGCCACTTGGTCTCAGGGGCACTTCACAGCCTTGCTGTTGCCACAGCCATGCTGGATCGCAATCAAGCTGTTCTACAGCTGAGCTGTAGCACAGTGGAGCTGTTTTGCACTGAACAGAGTCTCTTTCTTCACTGTATCCCAAATTGAGGATTTTTATTGGCATTGAGGTGGCACCAAGCACCATTGGTTGACATCCTTCATCCCTATCTTCTTCTTCCGCTAAGATTGCAACCAGCAGGGTGTCACCCGCCCCTGCTGAAAAATCCCTCAGTCCGACGTCTATATCCGGCACTCTTCCTCCTCATCAGCTGCCCCCTCTGGAACCCTCTGTTGTCCGGCTCCATCCCTTTGAGGTTTGAGGTACTGGTGGAGATCCTGGGGGCCAAAGGCTTCCCCGGCCACCCTTTGACATCACCTCTACTATCTTTGCCGAAGTCTACAGTCAAAGCTCACGTCTTTACATCCCCTACCCCTCATTGGCTGGAATGTTGTAGATGACCCCAAAATACTGGTGGCTTGAATTTGGGTCTCTTATTCCCAAAGTGCAACACAACACCCCTCCTTGCAGTCGGCTCCAGTGACCCCCCGGACACCTTCGGCTCCTAGAATAGGCAATGCTGTTATATCATGCTCTCTCCCACCTCCAGGTGTATGTACACGCTGTTCCCCCCACCTGGAACTTTCTGTCCTCTCTGATCCCAGCTTTCCTTGGCTCTCTGAAAAGGCACCTCCTTCAGAAAGCCGTCCCTCACCCTCTGTCTCAACAGGGACCCCTTCTTGGTGTGCCCAGAAATTCCACCTGTTTTCTCACTGTTACCTCCCACCCTGGGCTTTGACCCAAAGTCTGTATTCCGTATCCAGTCCCTGCAGGCCGGCCCTCAGAGATGGCCGAACTACACGAAATGGACATCGTTCTTCCAGATCACCTCGCGGTGCCCAGCAAGCGCCGGCACGCAACAGGTCCAGCCTGCATGGGCTTCTCCACCACGGCCGCCTGCCAGAGGCCGGAAAGCCGCCCTGGGGAGGCCCCTCGTTGCCAAAAGCAAACAGGCCGCCAGGGAAGTTTTGCTTTGGGTCACACCCGCCTCTGGGAGGCTGCCAATCCTCCTGCCAGAAACCGCAGGCCCTCAGAAGCTGCCCAGAGCCCGGGCCACGGGGCTTGGGAGGACTCGGGTCAGCTCTGCTAGGGGGTGTCTTCCCAGCACTTCCTGGATCCACAGCCCCCCAGCGTCGGGCAGGGGGTCGGGCAGGGCTGCAGCAGCTACGTCCAAGGCTTGGGAAGGCCCCTCGTGCTGGGAGGAGCTAGGAGGCCCCTGCCAGCCTGTCCCAGGCTCTTGGTGCTGCCACTGGCTCTGGGTTTCTCACACACACACACACACACACCCCTGGCGGGCACTCCCTTGGTGGCCTCCATAGTCTCACCTTCAGGTAAATGGTGGGAGGCCGAGGATGGGGAGAGGAGCAAGGAATGCAAAGACCAGTGTGTGTGCGTGTGTGTGTGCGCGCGCGCACGGGTGCCTGGGAGTGACCTCACAGCCTGCAGAACATAAAGACTTATAGGTCCTGCCTCCCAGGCTCAAAGTTGACTCCGTGGAGGACACGGTAACATGAGAGACACACCTCAGAGCCACCTCCTGGCCTTCTCCTTCCTCTGCCTCCTCTCAAAGGTAAGGGGGCCCCGCGGCCCCAAAACATACTGCCGGCTTCCTCGGTGTGGTGGGGGAGGTGTGAAGTCACTGCCAGGGACCCCTGGACGGACCCCTGCAGGACCCCCGTGCCGGGCACAGCCAGGTCTCCCTCCCTGGTGCCCAGACAGCTGCCTCTGACCAGCTCTGCTGTGTGACCTCAAGCAAGTTCCTTTTCCTCTCTGAGCCTCGGCTGCTCCTTTGGTTGAACGGGCACCGTTCATGAAGTCTTTGCGAGGATCATTTTGATAATTCATCTAAAGCGCTTAGCAGAGGACCTGGCACATGGCGAAAGTTCAAAAGAGGATTTGATGATTCTTACCCACCCCCACAGCCCTTCCACAAAGCAGAAGTGCATGTCCTCTTTACAAATGAGACTCAAGACATGGGCTGCTTTGCCTAACGAGCCAGGATTTGAATGGATGTTGGAGTCCCATTCACTGGAAAGTTCATACTGCAAGGGCATTAATGCTTTTAGGTCCTCAGGCAGTAAGTGACCTGCTGATGCTGGCTAGAGGGGACAGGGAGACACCTCCATGGAATAATGGCCCTCCCTTACGGGATATTTGTCAAAGGGCTTACGGGACATCTGCTTTGTCTAACATGCCCCACAACGCTGTCAGGAATTATCAGCTCATTTCCAGTCAAGCAAGGCTCAGAGAGGGTTACGCGTTGTTGCCCAAAGCCACACAGCAAAGAAACGTCGGAGCCATGGAGGAGTAGAGCGCAGGAGAGGCCTGGGTGTGGGCGGAGGGGGCCGGGGGCTTCCTTTCGTGCCTCTTCACCCCCAACCCGGACCACGGCTGCAGTCGCTGGGCCCTGTCACCCCCAGTCCTGCGGGGATGGGCCCCACCCCAAGCCATGATCTCACCGTATTTCCTTGCTCCTTTGAGGAGCTTGGGCAGGAGATTTTCCCCGCAGGTCCCAGGCAGCGGTGTGGGGAAGGCTGAGGACTCTGCCGGCACGCCCGTCCTGCTGTTTGTTCCGCCAACGGGGGCGGCTGGGGTAGCTGCAGCAGGGAGCGTGGGTTTGGGGCCCAGGATTTAGTAGAAGACCAAAGTGAAGCCATCCCGACTTGCTGTGTGCCCCTGCCGGGCTCCCGGGAGTCATGCAGCCCCCTACTCAGAACTCAGGGGCTTTGTCATGGCAAACGAGGGAAGCCGCCCCTCTCTCAGAGAGACAATGCCATGTCTCTCCTGCAGGCAGGCGGGCTCCTGGGCTCGGGGCTATGGACAGAGGTTGGGCAGACCTGGAAACAAGCAGTCACGCTGGCCGAGAGCTGGCCGTGGCTGCGCTTCATCCTACACAGGTGGTCTCCACCCCTTTTTTTTTTTTTTTAATTTATTTACTTTTTAAATACATTTGTCTCTGCCTCCCCCCCACCTCTTTCCCTTGCCCCCTCCCTCCTTCCCTCCCTCAGCTCTTCCCCTTTGGTTTTGTCCATGAGTCCTTGCTCTATGTTCCTTGACTTTCCCCTTCCCTTCCCTTTCCCTGCCCCCCACTTCCCTCTTGTCTCTGTTGATTTCTTTTCCTTTCAGTGTTGCTGGTCATATTTTCCTTGCATCTTTGCATTGTTGGTTAGGTTCCGCTTATAGGTGAGATCATATGGTATTTGTCTTTCGCCCCCTGGCTTATTTCGCTTAGCATGATGCTCTCCAGTTCCGCCCATGCTGTCGCAAAGTATAGTACTTCTTTTTTTCTTTCTGCCGCGTAGTATTCCATTGTGTATATGTACCATAATTTTTTGATCCAATCATCTACTAATGGGCATTTAGGTTGCTTCCAACACTTGGCTGTTGTAAATTGTGCTGCTATGAACATTGGGGTGCATAGGTTCTTTTGTATTGGCGTTTTGGTGTTCTCAGGGTATAGTCCACCCCTTTTTACTGAGGAGGAAACAGCTCCCTTCCTGCAGAGCAGTTAAGAGAAGTGCTCAAAGTCACACAGCAGGCCAGTGGTAGAGCTCAGGTTTCAGCTTCTGCCCAGAAGATTCCATGCCCAGGGCTCTTACCGCAGAGCCCTGCCCCCTAGTGACCACAGCACGGGTCCAGGGGAACCAAGGGTGATGGGGCAGCTTGGACAGAGGAATGAGGTCATTGGGATGGGTGTAGAGGTAGAGGGAGGCCAGAGAGGGCATGTTTCTCCTTGGGGATGCTGAAGCATCCTCTCCGACTTGTCATTATTCCTCTTGAACAAGTGGGTAAACTGAGGCAGCGGCTAAGCTGGCATCAGAGCCCCCGGGGGACAAGAGGTGGGCATGGCAATTAAGAGCCAGGGCTTTGGATTCCCAGGAACTTGGATTCCAACCCCAGCTCTACCTCTTACTGGGGATGTCGCTACCTTGCTTTGAATTTCAGTTTCCTCATCTCTAAAATGGGCCCCACACTGGGAACTTAAATTAGACAGCACAGGAACAGGCTCAGCACGTGGTATGCCCCTGGGGGACACTAGCCGCGATCATCAGTGTCATTAGTAGCTTCTCCTGGGTATCAGGACTTGTAGCCCAGCCCCTGCCAAGCTTGCCAGGTTGAAAGAGGCCAAAGTGGGAAGCCAGGTGCACAGCAGAAGGCCTATGTCCTGGCCCCCTGCTCTCAGGTGGGGGGACCCAAGGGCCCCTTCTGAGCAGAGTTCCCCGCTGCCCACTAACCAAGGAAGCCGAGCCTCTGATTTGTCAGGGAACCCCAAATGCCAGCCAGCCAATTGCCTCACGGATCAATTTCTTGTGAATCACCTATGGAGTTATTAAAATGCAGATTTTGATTCATAAAGAAGGGCCCTAGAGACTGCATATCTAATAAGTTCCTGATCATGTTGCTGCTCTCTGTCCAGACCACACTTGAGGGGTGAGGTTAGGCGAGGCCATCTTGTCTTGAATCTCTTCAGGACCACCCAGTCCCCTGCCTGAAATTCCTGCAAAGGCTGGAACTCGCTCCCTCGTAAGGCCCCAGGCACACGGCTGCACACCTGCAACCGTTACCAGTGCCATTTTAGACGGGAGCTCTGGGAGCCCCTCCTGCGCTGAGACCCCCACCAGAAGCTGATTGGCCTATTTGGGGCACCCCCTTGTGGCCAGGGTGGGAACTGCAAGCCACTGAAAGCATGTTTGCAGACTTGCGGGGTCTTAGGGATAGGACAAAGTGGGAATGGGGGGATATGGGTCATTGCCTGCTTTGTGGCTGCTCATGGGATATGAAAGCATTGATTTCATCTTGCTAAACTGCAAGTCTATCTGCTGGATAAAACCCCCAGGTCCCCAAGGATTCTGCTAAAAACTGGCCCTCTTTGGATGGGGTCACTGAGACTACCTTGAACCGTGCCTACCTCTTGGTCCCCACCTTCAACTGGGCACACAGGGAACCCATAGCATCTGGCTTCTGGTTTAGTTGTTTCTGTGTCCTGAGTGGGGAGGGGAGTCAGGACACAAGCTGATTGACACCTTGACCCGGCCCCCAGGGATGGGTCGCTGGCTCAGACTTCCCCCTATTATAGGAAAAGTCAACTCCCCACCCTGGACCCTGGGTCCTCAGTGCAGAAGCCGGCGCCCAGCCCTGCCACTGACACTCTGTGACTTTTGACAAGTCCCTTCCCTTCTCTGACACTCAGGTGCCCCATCTCTACATGGCAGGGGGGAGGGTTAGACTGCAGCAGAGAAACCAAATCCTGGCTGTGCACCACAGGCCCCTGACAGCCTGTTAAAAAGTCAGATTCCCAGGCCCCGCCTGTGGGAGCTCTGATGTGGCAAATCCTAGAGGTGGCCTAGGGGTCAGCATTTTTACCAGGTTTCCTGGTTCATTCAATGTTTGTCCAGCAACATAGTCTGGATTGTTCTAAAGATCAAAAACCTTCATAGTACTGTTTGATTTATTCAGCCCCCAAGATAAGTGCCTACCATCCACCTGCTGAAAAATGTATAGGACCTTGTGGTTTTAATCCTTCGTTTTGCTGCTTTTGCCTTCTGTAAGTTCCTGGAGGGCAGGGCCTAAGCCCTTCATTGTAACTCACACTGACGATGACCATAGCTACATGCATGAGCGTCTGCTGTACGCCAGCCTCATTTTATGTTTTGCCCAAAGCGATCCTCTGAGGGGCATGCTATTATTGCCCCCTTTTTACAATTGAGGATATTGAGGCTCGGAGAGCTTAAGTAACTTGCCCAAGACCACTCAGCTGATAAGGAGCAGAGTTAGGACTGGAACTCTAGTCTGAGTCTGTGCTCACGACCACACTGCATACCACGGGACTGCCAGGGCTCAAGGCCAGGTCTGCGTGATTCTGGGGCCAAGGTGTGGACCCCACGCAGTCCAGCCTGTCAGAGAGGTGGCCAACCGGGAGGGTGTCACTGCCCACCTTGAATGACCATGGCTCAGTGAGACCTCTCTCTCTGCAGGTGTGTGCCCAGCTGTGCCCAACGCCATGTGCCTGCCCCTGGCCGCCACCGCAGTGCCCGCGGGGGGTGCCCCTGGTGCTGGACAGCTGCAGCTGCTGCCGGGTATGTGCACGGCGGCTCGGGGAGCCCTGCGACCACCTCCACGTCTGTGACCCCAGCCAGGGCCTGGTCTGCCGGCTCGGGGCGGGCCCTGGTGGCCGGGGGGCCGTGTGCCTCTGTAAGCAGGTTTGCGGGACTGATGGAGGGTGCGGTTGGAGGGGAGGGGTGGTCAAGGCCAGAGCGTCCTCAGTCAAAGGGAAGCCCTTCTCTCCCTGCCTTTTAGCCTCACTTCAGGTACATCATCCATTTCAGCCAAGCTGGCAACCCAAAGTTCCCGAGGCCCACTCCCTGCTTCTCCCCGCTGGTGCTTACTATGACCATGCCACCGCCTGCATAGCCTTCCCCCATTTTTATGTGCCCAAATCGTAGCCAGCTTGCAAAGCCAAACCCAAACCCCTCCCCCCCGAGAAGCCCTCCCATGTTCTTCTAACCAGAAGTCATCATCCCCTCTGCGAGGCCTTCACAATACTTTTGGAAAAATAAAAGTGCAACCCCTTATAGGTATAATAGATGTCAGGCACTGTGTTAAGCACTTGCTACACAAATCACACAATCCTCACAGTAACCCTATAAGGTAAGCACTTTCAGACTCATTTTATAGATAAGGAAACTGAGGCTCATAGATACTAACTGACATGTTTAATATCATACGGCTTGGGACCTGGCCCAACAGGCTCTAAGGCAACTTTCAGTCTGTCTTCCTCCTGAATAGGGAGCCCACAGCCTGGATTCAGAGTTTGCATTTACCATTGAGCCTGAGCCTCTTCACCTTCCTCTGCTCTTCTGGGCCTCGGGGTACCAATGCTTTAGATCCGGTTCCCAGCTTTGCTCTGGGGACATGTCGGACCAGATAATTCTGGCTGTGGGGACTGTCTTGTGCTTGGTAGGACATTTAGGAGTGTCTCTGGTCTCTATCCACTAGATGCCAGTGGCATCCTCACCCCCAAGTTATGACAATCTGTCTTCAGACATTGCTGAATGTCCCCTGGGGAGAAAGTCACCTCCAATTGAGAACCACTGCTTTAGAGAAATAGAAAGAAGTAAGATATCCTCCTTCCCTCCCTTCCTTTCTTCTTCCTCTTCTTCTCCTCTCTCTCTCTCTTAATAATAATAATAATAATAAACCTTGTAGAGCAAGTAACCTCTTCCATCTATATGCATGTCACACTTTTATAAAAATAAGAACGAGAGAGAGGGGCCCATGAATCATGGACAATGAGTCGATCTATAGGAAAAACTCTGTTAACAAGAAAAACAAAACTTCGAGACAGGAAGCTACTCTTAGCAAATCCTTGTTAAATACTTCATTTAATTAGAGAAGTATAATAATGAGGGATGATTTGTTAAATAAAATCATAGCTGATTGCTAATAAAAATGTGCCAAAAAAAAAAAAAAAGAAAGGAGGAAAGTAACACTTAGCTTATAAGGCTGATATTTAGATTAGCCATGGTGCATGTAAAGCACTTGGCAGAGTGTATTTATTGACATGGCTTAGCATTTATTGTGTGCCAGGTGCTAAGGGTTTCACAAATATTACCTCTTTTAATCTCACAACAACCCTATGAGGTAGGTACTGATGTATCCTTATTTTATAAATGGAAAAAGGAGGCACAGAGAAGGTTAAGCTACTTGCAAAAAGTCACACAGCTCATAAGTAGCTGAGCTGGGATTTGAACTCAGGAAGCTGGCTCCATAATCTTCGTTTCCATTGCTCTTCCTCCTGACACTATGCTTGGTCCCTAATGAATGCCATTGCCAAGAACTTTGTTAAGGAGCTTTTAAAATCCCATATCCATTCAGACTCAAACCCTTGGAAGCCAAGGATTTACTTGGTCCTTGTTCCTTGTTCCTTGGTCCTTCTTGCAACTCGCAGCCCTGGCCAGGCAACAGGGTGGCTGCTCATGAATGTTCAATGACTTGAACTGAACTTAGAGGCCGGGAGTGGGTGAACCCCACAGGTGGGCCAGAGCCAGCTAAGACCTCCCAGGGGCCGAACTAGGTCTTGGCTCTGGGGGAAACGCCACCTCTCTGACCTCCCGCACCCCAATCACGCAGCTTCCCCAGCTCAGCTTCCCCTGGCTCCGGTTCAAAACCTTGGAGTCCTTCTTGACAGCTCTCCATTTTTTACATCCCACACACTATCCACCAGCAAATTCTTCACAAGATTTCCAGAACCTGACAATTCTCAGTCCCTTCATTGCTACCACCCTGGTCTGAGCCCCATCATCACTCGTCTGGATTCGGCAGCAGGCCCATAACTCTCCCTGCTTCTGTTCCCACACGGTAACCCAAAGGCCCCTTTTAATACAAGTCAGATCACGTCCCTGCTCTGCCTGAAAGCCTCCGACTTTCAGCTTCTCACTCCCTCAGAATAAAAGGCAGAGTCCTCTCGGTGACTGACCAGGCCCCACAGGGCCCTGATCCTGTTCTCTTTCTTATCTTACTCCCACCCTGTCTCCTGTTCTCCGCTCCAGCCACGCTGGCCTCCGTGCTGTGCCCTCAGGACCCCAGGTGCCTTCTCACCTCCGGGCCTTTGCCCCGGCTATTCCCTGTGCTGCGTTCTTTGCCCCAGATCAGTTCCCTCCTTCACATCTTTGCTCACATATCACCTCCTCCATGAGGCCTTCCTTGATCACCACATTTAAAATCACCTGCCCCACTCCTTAGCCCTGCCCTCCTTTATTTTTTCCAGCACTAATTCGATATCATAAACTCCACATACATGTTTATTGTGTTTATTTCCACTAGAACAAAATCTCCAATGAGGGCAGGAATTTACCTGTTTTAGTCATTGCTGTATCACAGATGCCTAGAACAGCGCCTGGTGCATAGTAGGCACTCAATAAATAATTGTTGAATGAATGAATGCGTGTGTAAGTGAATAATAACAATAGTTCGGGCAGTAACAGGCACCGTTGAGCATGTACTGTGAGCAAGCCCTTTACACACATGATTTCATTTTAGCCTTAGTAATGGGGTAGGTCCTATTATTCTCCCTATTTTGCAGATGAGGAAACTGGGGCTCAGAGAGGTTAAATCACCTGCCTAAGGTCACAGCATGCAAGTAGGTGAAGGCAAATAACAAAACAAAACAAAACAAAGCCAAATGTTCCTGTTCTTTCTTCTCCTGCAAGAGACTCTCGGAGGGGAAGAAGGATGAAGAAATCACCAGAAGACAAAACTGTGCTCTGAAATTATTTAGGGGAAGGTGCTGGATGAGGGGGCACTGGAGAGGGGTTAGAAGGCGTTGTGGGGTTTGGGCAGCTGCGTGTGTGCGCGTGGATGGATGACGGGGAGATCCGAGAGTGAGCAAGTCTGTAGTTGCCTCGTGCTGTTTGGGACCCTGACTGGGTGCCCCAGGGCGGGGGAGTGGCTGCCCGGGTGTCAACCCCCTCCCCGCCCCGCCCCAGCCAGCTCTGAGCTGGAGGACCCAGGAGAAGCGCCAGGAAACCTTGCTAAAATTATCACCCCTCCAGCTGACTTTCCGAAACAGCCTCTCTGTTTACCAGGTCATCTCAGTGACCAAGGGGCCCAGGGCTGGGGCACCAGGGCTGGGAGGCCGGGCTCAGCCAGGTTGGGGATAGCGACTGAGGCGCAACTGCCCCTGCAGTTTCTAAAAAACCAGTGGCCACATGGTCCAGGCTACAAGGTTGGGACTTGAAGCCAAAGAGCCGTGGCCTGGAAGAAGCAAGGAGAGCGAGCCGACACTGGTCCTGTCCGCTCAGAGGAAAGAACATCGCCCACTCCCGCTCATTGAGCATCTGCTATGTCCTGGGCTTGGGGCAAAATGCTGTAAGTGCACCAGCCAATTTAACCTCCCAGCCGCCCTGTGAGCAGGGTACCACGGCTCCGAGCGGCACAATAACTTGCCCCAGGTCCCTCAGCTTTCAAGTGGGGAACTGGGGGTTTGAACCCACACCTACATGGTAAAAAAATTCCTGCATGTGTATGGACCTATTTGAGGTTTTTCTTTGAAGACTCGGGACAACCTGCTTGCCAGCGAGTCCTTCCCTGGGGGCCCAGCCCCACTGCCGCCCACATCTCCAGGAAGCCCTCCTGATGGCTCCTTTCTTTGTACTTCCCCAGCAGCCTCCCTTGACAACTGTATCGTGGAGATGATAACTTTCGTATATGTCTCCCCTACTGGCGCCCACATCTCTCCAGGCAAGGACTGTGGCTTAGCCCTGCCTAGGAGCACAGAGGCTGGCACATGGCAGGGCCACACTGTACATCTCTGGAATTTTAAGGAATCAGAGCTAATTTATCAATGTCTCTTCTGCGCTGGGCCTGTGACAGGCAGTCATTCAAAGGACACGGATGTGCCAGGGTGAGCACCCTCAGTCCCAGCCTTCAAGGAGTTCATGTCTAGCAGAGCAAGTGGTAATGACGCCCATATCGTGAGGGCTGCATTCCAAGTGTTTCCTGAGCACCTACTGTATGCTTAGCATTGTGCTACATACTCTGTACAAATTATCTCCTGTGACTGAAGGTAGAGATTACTGTTCTCATCATTGCTATTGCTCTGGTGACTCAGAGAAGTCAAGCAGCTTACCTGAAGACACACAGCCAGCAGGTTAAGCCTCGACCATGAAAGTTGGTAGCATGAACTCTCCGTGTGTATGTCATAGTTACCTGTTATTAATCTATCATAATTATACTAATAACAACAGAGCAGCTAGGATCTAATGTCTCCTTTATGTTGTATGCATTACATGCAAGCCCTTTACACATGGTCTCATTTTGTTCAGTGTATACCACAACCCTGTGAAATGCAGGGTGGGGCAAAAGTATGTTTACAGTTGTGAGTACACGAAACAGGGTTTATTATTGTATTATTTATATCACAACTGTCAACCTACTTCGGCCCACCCCTATAAGTACCATTATAACCCATTTTGTAAGAGAGGAAACTGAGGCGTCTCAAAAGTGAGATCGCTTGGCCAAGGTCCAGAGCCAATGTAGGGGCTCAGACCGGGCAGGCTTCTCGCAGGCCCCGTGCCAGGACCCGGTGGGCCACGCCACCTTCCCGCAGGTGCCAGGGCAGGCCGGTGGGGCCTGAGATGCTGGCGGGGCTGGAGCCCCTTGCAGAGCTCAGATGCTTTAAGGGCGCGGCTCCCCGACGGGCCGCTCTGCCGACGAGCCGCGTGGCGCCTGTGGCCGGCACAGCCGCACCCTTAGAAAGCTGGGGGGTCACCGACGGAGGCCCGCTCTCTCCTCCGCAGGGGGCGAGGATGACGGGAGCTGTGAGGTGAACGGTCGCCGGTACCGGGACGGCGAGACCTTCCAGCCGCACTGCAGGGTTCGCTGCCGCTGTGAGGACGGCGGCTTCACCTGCGTGCCACTGTGCAGCGAGGACGTCCGGCTGCCCAGCTGGGACTGCCCCCACCCCAGGAGGGTTGAGGTCCCGGGCAAGTGCTGCCCTGAGTGGGTGTGCGACCAGACAGGGGGGCTGGGAGCCCAGCCCTTGCTGGCCCAAGGTGAGTGCGGGGCTGGCCCAGGCTGGGGGGCGGGGCGGTTGGGAGGGCGGGGCGTCTGGGGGCGGGGCCTCTGAGGCAGCAGGACCCCTGGACACACCAGAGGGGGAGGGGCAGGGTCTGAGGAGCGCGTAGGAAAGTGGAGAAGAGTCACAGGCCTCCTCAAAACGGACAGAAGAAGAAACAGTGGTAGAAGTACGTCACTGTAATCACAGATAAAGCCAAAATTGGTGGCAGCGTGAAGGGAATGGTTAGAATTTTTGAACCAAATTCTCCCATTTCATAGCCAAGTATACTATTATATATTGCTATATTATATTATAGAATAGTATATATAATATACTACATATTATTATACTTGTAAAATACATATTAGTAATATATTTATAGAACATAAATATTCTATAATACATAATATTAATATACAATTATTTGGGCTTATCAAAAGAGGAACTCCAAATTGAACGTAGCAAGGTGGTTGCCTGAGTCATGGGCCTAGACTTTGTTGTTGTTATGTTGTGGGTTTTTAAAAAATATTATTATATGAGTGTGATTTTTTTTTAAAAAAAGTAATCTAGAAAGAAGGCGTTAGTTCCGAAAAGGAGGGCACCAGAGGGGAGGTCGTAGAGCAGGCGGGTGAAGCAGGAGGTCAGCCCGGGGCCTAAGCCAAGTCCTACCATTTTCTAGCTGTGCGACTCTCAGAAGGTCGCCTAACTTCTCTGTGCCTCAGGCCCTTCGCCTGTGAAATAGGAGCGCCCACCTCAGAGAGCTGTGGCGAGGCCTGGATGAGTAAATACAAGTACAGCCATCACGACGGTGCCCGGCACACAGCACTGCGTTGGTGGGAGCTGTTTTCATCCCAAACACGGAAAGTGACACACCTGTTTAAGTCCACAGGCGAATGCCGCGAGTTTGCCTGATGCATAAGAAGCAGGATAGCACACTGTGCGTGCAATTTTATCTCCATTATGTGTCTGCCTATGGGTGTCTGGAAGTATATGTTCATATATACATCATACGTGCTGCACATGTGTGCCTATGACACAGGGTTTATCAGCCTCGGAGCTTCTGACATTTGGGCGGGTAATTCTCTGTGGAGGGACCATCCTGTACATTGTAGTGTGTTTAGCAGCATCCCTGGCCTCTACTCCCTAGATCCCAGTAGCCCCCTCCCCCAGTTGCGACAAAGCAAAAATGTCTCCAGACATTGCCAAGGGATCCCTGGAGGACAAAATCGCCCCTGGCTGAGAACCACTCGTATAAAGGACCAGAAGGGAGGACACCAAAATATCAGCAGAGAAAAATGAAACTTGGGGAGGAGGAAAATCGTGACCCCGGTGACCCCGCCGCTTCGTTCCAGGCTTGGCCATGGAACCACCGGCATCCCTGTGGCCAACACACGGCCCCATGACACACAGGCCACAACCTCCCTGTAAAATGAGAAGCCCACCAGTCACTGGGGGATGGTCCTGGTCAGCAGCATCATTTATGAGGCGTTTACAAGTACCTGGCACCATACTTCCCCGCCATTATTTTATTCAATCCTAATAATCAACTATTAGGACATGCACACAGGAAGAAACTGAGGGGCAGAGAGGTTAAGCAACCTGACCAAGATCAATCACATCATAACTCAATGGGCTGACTTGGCTGCCAAGTCCTGGCCTCCCAGTGCTGACCCTTCTTTCTCCCCACCCCCTCCCAGGACTCCAGTCTTCTGGCTTTGTCGCTCTCCCGCCTCCTGGGGTCCCCTGCCCAGAATGGAGCACGGCCTGGGGTCCCTGCTCCACCACCTGTGGGCTGGGCATGACCACCCGGGTGTCCAACCAGAACCGCTTCTGCCGACTGGAGACGCAGCGACGCCTGTGCCTGCTTGGGCCCTGCCCACCTGCCAGTGGCCGCAACCTACTGAACAGCGCCTTTTAGAGCAGGCCCAGCAGGCAAGCGTGGCTACAGGCACCTGTCTAGTCCGGGCCCCCCATCTGGGCCCTGGAGGACAAGAATGGTCACAAGTGGCCTGGTCTGTCTGGACCCCAAGATAGAGCAGGGATGCATTCATTAGCCCCGTTTCCTCTAACTCCCAGCCGGGGAGGCTGGCCAGGTTTCTAGGGTCTTCTGGTCCATTCCCAGCCTCCACGCAGCCTTTATCAAAAAAGCATGTGCACTAGCTTTCCAGGGAATGGGCAGCCACCTCTCTTCTCAGGCAGGTACTGGGCAGGACTGCCTATTTTCTGGGGCTGTGGTGAAGAGGGGCACGGACCTTCAGACTCACTTGCATCCTTTCCTGTGGTGACGTCGAAATGTCCCTGAACACGTGCCTATGCATGCTGTTGGGTGTCAGGCTTACGCTCTCTGAGACAGCCCTCCCCGACCGGGGCAGAATTCAGGGGCCTCATGCTTTGTGAAAATCGCCAGATGAAATCACTGTCTTGAAGAAAGTCAGAAAACAGTCCTTGAAGTGATCTATTAACTCTACTTGTATTAGTAAGAACTACCCTTTTTTCAGCCCCTGGGATGTGCCAGGCACTGAGCTAGACACTTTATATAGATCAGTGCTTTGCAATACCCTGGACTCAAGAGAAGTAGGGGAGAAAGTCCTCGGGGACTGGGGAACTTGGTCTGAAATAAACCAACCTAAGTATGAAGTTCTGTTTCAAGTCTCATGTTTTATTGTTAAAAAAAAAAAACCAAAAACCTTACCTCTAAGTTTATATCCTCCGCTGTGACCTACTGTGTTTGTTTAAAAATAAAAACAGTGTTTTCTTTAGGGTTCAGCTAGGAAATTAGAAAACACACAAACGCATAGGTCTTAAGCGTATGGTTTAACGAGTCTTTATAATATACACACTTATGTAACCCCTGCCTCAGTCAAGGCGTAAGGCATCACCATCCTCCCTGAAAGTTTCCTCTGGCCCCTTGCTACTCCTCCCCTCTGCTCTCTGAGGCAACCGCTGATCCGATTTCTATCACCGTAGATGAGTATTGTCTGTTCTTGAACTTCGCATCAGTAGAATCACACAGTAGGTACTCTTTATTGAATGGCTTCTTTGGATCAATACCAGCCCTGGGGTGGAGGGGCCGAGGAGCTGAGGGAGGGCGGAGCCCAGAAGCTGGGGGACCAGCTAGCAGAAGATGGAGCCACCGAGGAGCAGCAGGCCCGAGGTGACACACCCACGTAAGCCTTAAAAACAGACGGATATGGAGGATAGACCCTGGCTTGTGCTCTCTCCTGTCCCCTAGTTTCCAGTAGGGCCTCCCATTGGTCAAACCTACAGGGAAGGGGGAGGGGAGGGAGCCTGAGAACGTAGAGCTCAGGGGGGCGGGACGCAGGTGAGGACCTCCTCTATGTTCACTTTCAATATAAGCTATTATTACCCTGCCTCCGTGGTTCTTTCCAAGTGAGAGAGTGACGAGAAGGCAAGGGCTGGGAGTCTTCTGACTTGTGGAAAAGAGGAGGAGGTGTTGAGGAGCAAAGGTCCCCAGGTGAAAATCAGGCCACACCCACTGAAGCTCACAGCCAGAGGTACCTGGTCCAGCCATTCCCATTATATTTATACATTGCACCCATGGCATTGTAATTGTATCCATGTTGTTGCAAGTCACAATAACACATTCTTTCTTATACAATATTCTATTGTGTGAACATACCACATTTATTTATTCATTCTACTCTCCATGGGCATTGGGGTAGTTTCCAGTTTGCGGCTGTTATGAATAGGGCATTGTGAACATTCTCATACATTGGTAAACATTTCTGTTGAACGTATATTCAGAAGTACAATTGCTTGGTTGGGGCCTGCGACCTTTCTCCTGGGTCGGGTTCTCTCCCAGTATAATGGAAGTCTTGACATATAACAGGTGCTCAATAGAGACGTACTGCATTAATAATAAACTAGGAGCTGACATTTGTTGAGTTCTAACCATACACCAGGCTCTGTTCTAAGCATCTTCTGTGCGATGCCTCACTTGACCCTCACTATAGCCCTTTAAAGTAAGTATAAATATGCCCAGTTCACAGAGAGGAAAACTGAGGGCCAGAAAAATTAAGGAAATAGCCCAAGTGTACACAGTTCAAAGTTTGTAAAACCAGGATTCAAACCCAAAGAGCTGGCTCCAGAGCCCATGCTCATGGCCACCAGGCTACAATGGCAATAGTCACCACAGTGTTCAGAGCTAAGGTGCCCGGATCCGGAAGAGAAGCTGCGAGAGTGGGAAGGAAGGAACGGAGAGGGGGAGGGTCAGCAGGGCCTGGCCATGCTCGCAGACCTTGTTTGAAGGATGGGTGTGACAAGCTGGGGAAATGAGACACCAGCTGCGTCCTGGGGCTTTCTGCTGGACGCTGGGGAGAATGGAGGGCCGTCGACAGAAGCCAGGAAGAGCAAAGGTGACCGCAGATGGCAGGCAGGAGGGGGCATTTTAGATGGTTTGAGCTTGAAGAGGAAGGAGTCACCAGGACAGTGTGGCTGGAGGAGGCTGGAGATCAAAGATGGGTCAGGTCAACACAGAAAAAAGAGTTCAGGTGGAGAATCTGAGTTGTCTGCACCGAGGGGCAGAGTGGGTAATCAGATTGGCTGAGCCAGAGGACGTGGGGAAGGAGAAAACAAGAATGTGTGTATGTCGCTGCGTATAACCTCTCATCACCCCGTCCGGCCCCACTGCCCGCGCTGGCCGGCCGCCCTGGGCTCTGGCTCTGCCCAGGCGAGTGCAGTGGCCTCCCCTGCCCCGCCCCCGCCCGGCTTCCACTGCTGCTCCCGCAGTGAGCGCTAAAGGGCCCCTGTGGAGACCAAGCCGGACCACACTGCTCCTTTTCCCTCTGAGAAACGCCTCAGGCAGCCTCAGCCCTCGTGCTCCATTGCTCTCCCCCTTGCTCACCGCGCTTACACCTCATTGGCTTCCTTGCGGTTCCCTGAAAGCACTAGGCATGCCCCCACCTCAGGACCTTTGCACAGGCTGTTCCCTCTGCCCAACATCATCTTCCAGATGTTCCTGCAGCTCATCCCCTTGATCTCCTTCCAATTAGACTCACAAGTCACCATTTCACCGAGAACTCACCCAGGCCACTGTCTTCCAATCTCCCTGATGCACGTAGCACATACAAACCACCTTTTAACACACTGCATAGCTTCCTAACAACACGTATTATTTGTTGCTGAATTCCACAAGCACCAGGACTTTGTCTGCTTTGTTCATGGATGGATCCTTAGGACCTAGAACCTCAGGACAGTACCAGGCTCAGTCATTACTGAATGAATGAAATAATATATCTTGCTTTTTAAAAAAGGATTCAATGGGGCTTAGACAAGTAAATATGCAGTTGACAAGGAGGGTCTGCCCAGGTCACAATGATTTCCCAGGGCCATGTCAGCGTGGGTTAGAGCTCACATGGCCCTCACCCCACCCCTGCCTGCCACCCCTGACCCTCAAACTCAGTACTTCTCAGAGTGGGGTTCCCCCACCAGAAGCATCAGCATCTCTTGGGACCTGGTTTGAAACACAAATATCTTGTGGCCCATTCTGGACTCACAGAAACCCTGGAGGTGGGACTCATAAATCTGTGTTTTAATAAATCCTCCACCTTATTAAAATTTATGTACCAGAATCAGAAGAAAACAGTGGTGTCCTGCTGCCCCCTTGTGGCATTTTGGTGCATGAACCGCAGAGCGGCCACCTTCAGGAAGGAGCCCTGGGAGACTGGGGTACAGCTGCCTCCTCCTGTTTCACAGATGGAGAAACTGAGTCTCAGAGAAGAAAGACACCTTAGCCAAGGTCTCAGAGTGAAGGAGTGATAGAGACAGGCATAGGATTCTTTCCTATTTGTGACCAATGCAAAAGTTTTCTTAAAATGTTATTTAAACAGATGCCTGTAATGGCCCCTCCTGGGCCGAGAGCCAGGCCACCTCCACCCATCCCCTGGCTGACTCCCTGGCCCCTCTGCCCACAGTCCAGCTCCTTCCTCCCACAGGCCACACTGTGAAGCCAGAAGGATCTTTCTGAAGCACAATTACGCTTATGTCACTCCACTTGAACCCCTCCGAGGCTCAGCATCGCCCTCTGGGTTCAGTCCAGGCTCCTTCCATGACTCACGGGCCTGCTGTGCCTTCCAGACCCTTCTGTGCTCCAGCCACACTGGACAGACAGCTCAGAGGGTTAGCGGCTCTGGCCCGGGCCTCCCCCGGGGCTGTGCCCTCTGCCGGGGGCGCTGCTTCCCCCTGGCCCCCGGAGGACCCCTGATTATTCTCCATTAGCCACAGTTTCCATGCCTACCCGAGGCCGGCCGGCCCCAGTGCCCTGGCTCCTGACCCCTCTGGCCCGCCCGGGTGCTGTCCTCCTACCATTCTACTGCTCCTACTCCCACATCTTCTGTTTTCCCTGTCTTCCGGTTCATTCCCACCCATATACACACATGTTGGTCCTTTTCCTAGTGCTGCAAAGGGTGCAGCCCACCAGCCCGTGCCCATACCGGCTACTCTGGTAGCAGGAGGTGGAGTGCCCTCTTCAAGGGGCACCTGCACCAGCCTGGGGAGGGTACCTGGGAAAGGTCAGGCCACACACATATGGCCACCTGGACCATCAAAAAGTCCACCTGCCGCTTCATGGCCAAAATGTGGTTCTAGGGTCTAAGGCACCTTCTGAGCAATGGGGTCATGATTTAGCTAATTCTCAAGAACTCATCTTTTTTCCTCTTCTGCTGCAATTAATTATAATGTCAGGGAGAACCCAAGGGCAAGGGCCTAGGCTTCTTGGACACCCTGAGGCTGGCCGAGGAACCTAGTCGCAAGTGGCCCCCTCGCACTGGCTTGTTTGTCATCTGTAGCGCATTTGCTGGTTTCTGGCCCCTCACCACTGGCTTTTATAAAAATGGTTCCAATCTCATCACTGGACTAGGTCTTTCTGTCCACTCTCTGTCGGACGGGCACCACGTAACGTGAGCTTCTC